AATATATGATCGGAATGTTTGTTTTTTTTTGTAATCCATGATCGAAATGTTTGTTTGTTTTTTTTTAATCCATGATTGAATTTTTTGTTTTTTGCTTTTTTTGTAACCCATGATAGAGTTTTTTGTAATCCATGATTGAATTTTTTGTAATCCATGATCGAACTATTTTTTTTTTTTTGTAATCCACGATTGAATTTTTTGTTTTTTTTGTTTGTTTTTTTTTGTAATCCATGATCGAATTTTATGTAATCCATGATCGAATTTTATGTAATCCATGATTGAATTTTATGTAATCCATGATTGAATTTTTTGAAAATTTGTGATTTTTTTTGTTTAATCCATGATCGAATTTTTTTTTGTAATCCATGATAGAATTTTTTGAAAATTTGTGATTTTTTTTTTAATCCATGATCGATTTTTTTGAAAATTTGTTTTTTTTTTTTTAATCCATATTATTCAAAGAGAAAACGAGAGAGATGATGATTCTGAGGTCACCCTATCCCAGCCATATTACTCACATATCGAGTCCCAACAGCAACAGTGTAGGGATGAGCACGAAATACTGTAAATTAAATGCTGAATGGCGGTTCATGCAGGGAAAGAACATATCAATATTCGCATATTCATTCAAAAACATGAAAATTCTTAATGGAGTACCCTCATTTTTTATTGAATTCCTAAAAACCAATATTTATAATGAATTTTAATAATTTTTTCGGATTTTTTTGAAGCTTTATTCTGACCGATTCACCCGATTCCGATCCGGATCGCCGATTCGCCGATCGGGATCGCCGATTCGCCGATCCGGATCGGTTTTTGAAAAGCCCGATCCGGGTCACCGATCCGGTTTTTAAACCATTGATTAGACCTATAACACCAGGCGTGCTGCCAGACACACATGGAGAGAGAGAAAGAGAGGGAGAGAGAGAGAGAGTGAGTCCTGTAAGAGCTCGATAGTAGTATAAAAATTGGGCACTTTATAGTTTAAATATAAATCAGGCAATGCTACTCAAGATTCACTACAATTTGTTTTAGCAAGTCTTTGTTCATGGGAGGCATCTGGGAATCAAAAGAATGAAAGAAATGCGGCAGAAATATGTCATTTGTCATTCAAAATCAATGAATAAAAAGGTAGCTGATATTGAACTCATTTGAGAATCCAAATGCCACATAAAAAGTATGGTGTAGCAATCCGAAACCAAAATGGGTACCTTACGTACAGAGAGGCTGTAAGCTGCCATTGAACATGCAATGAATTGAAGAAGTCAGCCAGTTTTTCTTCAATGGAATCCTCGGTGTCTTCTGATTCATAGACAAGATGGATCCCTGCCTGCTTCAAATGATAGCATGGAAATCCCAAGGATGGTGTCAGGGATGGTCCTGATTCATTAATGACTTCAATTTGATCCTCGTAATATGTCGATTCACTAACGAATTCAATTTGATCCCCATCTTTCAACCAGTTCATTTGAAACTCAAACCCAATGCCATCTCGGAAATGGTAAATATAAATTTGATTCCGGTGGGTCCCTGGATAAATTCCCAATGGAAGTCTATCCTTTTCCCTACCTTTCCTCTTGATCAATAAGTTGACAACATGCTTCTGGTGAGTGCAACTAAGTTCATTGACATAGATAACAAACCACACCATCATTTCTCTAATATGAAGGCCTTCTTCTGATATCCTTGACACTGTGCATGACAAAGTTTGATACATGAACCAATCTGGATTTTCGATATCCTGAATCCTTATGTATCTCGATGTGCACTTACACATGAACCAATTTGGAACCTTGCTTCCAGGAACACTTAAACTATATAAACCTGTAAACATTTCCTACATGTATAGGATAAAAAAACATTAGCAGTCAAAAGTAATAAAGATGTCTCAAGAACCAGGCAGTAGGAATTTTCTTGTGAACGAAGTAACTTACCTCCAGTAGACTTTGACCCCTCAAAACGTGAGGTTTACACCCACTCAAGAGCAATTCTCTCAAACACATCAACCCACTGAGACCCTGTATCTCAATCAGCCTCTTACAGTTTGAGAGATCCAATTTTTAAAGTTGAAAAAGGTGAGAGAAGTTGGGTATAATTTGCAATGATATGCAGTTGGAAGCATCCAAAATTTTCAAAGTGGTGGGTAGATCCTGGATACCTGAGAGCTCACCACAATCTACAACATTCAAGTAGTCTAGTTTAGAATGATTCGATAGCTTGGGCAACGTTTGCAAGCTTTCACATCCGGAAGCACTCAGATATTTCAAACTAGTGGGGAGATCAGGGATAGCTACCAGCTGCTTGCAACTATTTATATACAACGTTTCAAGATTAGAAAGGCCCCTCATGCTCCTAGGGAGGCCTTGGATGCTGTTTCCACTGAGAACCAGGGTTGTCAATGAGGATAACTTCTCAAAGTCATCAGGAATCATCCCCTGCAGGTTACAGTCAGATGCATTGAATATTTCCAAGGAGCAAAGACCTGAGAAAGTAGATGGAAGCCTTGTCAAATTGATGTTGTTTCCTATGTTGAGAATCCTTAAACATGTAAGACTTCCAAAGCTTTCCGGGAGCTCTTCTAACTGTTTACAATTCCACATATATAAGTCTTCCAAGTTAGAAAGACATCCAAAATCATTAGGTAATGCGGCAATAGCAGTTTCCTGCATCCGTAGACAAAGCAGTGACCTCATCCTTCCCATTGAGGCTGGGAATCTACTGAGTTCTTTGCAGCCATTCACATTCAACTCCCTAAGGTTAACTAGTGAGCCTAGCGAATTAGGCAATTCCTTCAGGTTGTAGCAGTTTTCAAGATTCAGATAAACTAAATTCCCTAGAAGGCCTATGGGGTCAGGAATCTCAACCAACTTGCAGCATGATATGAGATTCAACTTCTCCAAGTTAGGGTATAGAAAACAGTTGGGAATTCTCCATAAAGTACAGCATCTTAAATTGAGAACGTTCAACTTTGGAAACAGCTGTGCAAAAAAAAAAAGGTTGTTCGTTAAGAAAGATAATAACCATGATAGGTTTCAAATATACAAGGAAATAACACAAAAAAATGTTAAATGTGAGTCAAGTATTACACCTGCTTGATGTTGCTGCTCGAAATTTCAAGGACATAGTCATTGTTTGACAAGTCAAGGACAACTAGCTTCTCATAGCTAAGATCACCTGGGAGGTACTGTAAAGGGCACCAATTCTGATGGAAGTGCTTTGAAGCTTCCATTGAGAGATGCATTACTGATGCTAAGTAGCTTCAGATTAGTCATTGGTTTAAATGCTTCAGTTTCCCAACTCCTCTCCCATTCATTCCCTTCAAGTATTAGACCTCGAACCTTACGAGTTCCCTAATCTACAATAGTCGTAAATGTCAGCCAAGCAATAAGATGCTAAAGAAACAGATGCAACTAACCTTATCTCATCTATCTCATCTCTTGATGAAATGAAGCTAAATCAATTATAATCAAATAATTCATTAAAAGTTTCTACAACATTATAAAATTAGTGTTTTTTAGAAATAAATCGATTACAATCAAATAATTCAATAAAAGTTTCTACAACAAGATAAAATTAGTTGTTTTTAGAAATTTCTCACCATGTAATTCTTCAACACAGCAGTGACATCTTCTTCAGACCATAACCTACTACGCTTTCCAGGATCACCCAGGTTTTCTAGTTCAACAATCCGTCTCCCCATATCACGAAGTTGGTCGTGCATCCACAAGGAATTCCGATTCATAATCTTTATAAGTAACCTTTGCAATAATTTCCTTATGGAATCTAAAGCAGGGAAACAACAACCTTTCCATATGTCAATTGCATAATCCTTATCTTCCCCAATAAAGAAGCACACAATGTCAAGAAATATTTGTTTTGTTTCTTCGCTCAAATCATCAAAACTTACTTTCAGCTTCAGCATGATTTTATCTTCAGGAATTCTTTTCAACTTTGTTGTTGCATCTTCCCACTCATCAATGCTTCGCTTGTCACATAAGTAATATCCCAGAACTTCAAGAGCAAGGGGAAGCCCACCAGCGGTGGATGTCACATCCTTGGAGAGCTGCACATATTCTTGCATCGGTTGATTCCTCTGGAATGCACACCAACTAAATAGTTCAAGAGATTGTGCGTCATCCAATCCCTTGAGCTCATAAATATGATCACTATCCACTCTATTACGCACATTCAACACATGCTCATCCCTACTAGTGATGATGGTCCGACTTCCTTGAGAATACCAATCACGATTACCGATTATTTTTTCAAGCTGCTCCTCGCTATCAACATCATCAATTACAACAAGAACTTTCTTGGACCCAATCCTATTCTTAATAACATTGATGCCTCCATCAACATTACAAATACATGGATCTCCTTCATTAAGCAGTTCCTGGAGAAGTTGTTTCTGCAAGCTGACAACTCCAACATTTGTTTTTGAAGATTCTTGAACATCTGAGAGGAAACAACTGCCTTGGAAGCTGGAATATATTTTGTTGAACACTGCCTTGGCAAGAGTGGTCTTACCGATGCCACCCATACCATGGATACCAATCATCCGAGCATCATTAGCATCAATGTCTAAGAGTCTCAGCACATCATCCACCCGAGAATCGAGCCCAATCGGGTAATCAGTGACATGCAATGGTGTTTCATAGTTCAACTTTGCAGAAACATGCTTGACAAGTTCATTTACCAAATTTGCTTCCGTCCTATAGATGATCCCGTCGCATTAGGCAATTAAAGAAAAAATGAATTCAAAATGCGTATTTGAATTACCTATCCGGATGGGAATCTATTGAGACTGAACTGGTTCCAAGATGGTATGGGTCTTGGCCCTATCCCCCATTTCTTAGGATCCCCTTATATCTCCACCCCCTAAACCGCTATTTTAATTTTTATTTTGTCTAATCTATTTTTTTTTATCTTTTTTGAACATCGATTCCGATTGATTCAGACTCGATCGCCGATCCAATGATCCAACATGGACCTATGGGTGAATTATCCACCCACTGATCCGGGATTTGAAATTCGAAGCAAAATCAAGTGCCGCTATAGAACCAAACTAAGATGACAGCAAAATCAAGTGCTGCTATAGAACCAAACTAAGATGGCCCAGCTAAAGTCTAAGAGTACATCGGTCCCATTTCATATATCTATAAAAATATTTAAAAAAATAAAAAAAAAGGCTTTAGTCCCTGCAATTCTTTCAATGGGATATTAAAAGCTAAAAACCAAATAAATGTTAACTATCAATACAGGACCTGAAAATAATAATAAATGTGGATCCACTTTTTATACTTAGTTTCCATGGAGTTCCTCATCGCAACCTAGAAAGTGAAAGAGAGAGATCTTTTTTTTGTTTGTTTTTTCAAGAAATCAGAGGTAATTGGTTATACCTGTAATTCTTCATTTCCCAACCTAGAACGAGAAAGAGAGAGATTTTTTTTTGTTTGTTTTTTCAAGAAATCAGAGGTAATTGGTTATACCTGTAATTCTTCATTTCCCAACGAGAAAGAGAGGCAAATTCTTTCAAAGCCTTTCTCCACTTCTGCACTGTCTCCTCATCAAACCCATTCTTATTCCTGTGATCCACAAAGGCTTCTTCAAAAAGCCCACTTTGCCAGCGGACATGCGAAGGCTCCACATCATAAAACACAGGAAGAATAAACCTCGACCTCCGTGGCAAACTCAGAAAATAAGAAAGTTGGTCAAGGCAGAAGAAAGAGGAAGCATAATTGGGGGAAAAGATGGCTATAAACACCTCACACTTCTCAATGGCTCTTTGTATATCCCTTGGTTGTTGTTGTAGTATGGATGGGAAGAAGAAGGTGGAAATACCGGAATCAATGAGAACTCTGTTGAGATGGGATGTGAAGCTCTTTCCCGTATCTTCATCACAGAAGTTCAGGAAAACTTCCATGGATCTGATTTGGGCTTTATCTCTCTCTATCTATCTCTAGCAGGGGAAGCAAGTCGCACAGAGCTCAGCGTTTTCTCTCTCTAATTTACAGCAGTGGGAAGTTCAGGCCTTCTCTCTCTAATACAGTCACCCAAATTTGCTTCCTCTGATCTGATGTGTGCATATAAAGGAACCCCACTTCGCTTTCTCTCTCTAAGGAGGTGTGCGAGATCACAGCGACTTCGTGAGAAGGACAACCCTCGACCCCTGCCCAAAATATATAAAATGGATGCATGCCATTCCTTCGCGGGATCACATTGTACAATTACTCCCTCTTACAGGAGACATTCAAGAGAATTTTTTGCATCTGGTTCGTTCAAAAAGAATTACAAGTTATTTGAGATCTGCAGTTTCGACAGGGCCTATGGTTTATATAAAAAGAAAAACAAAAGGTAAAGCTTGTCTCAAAAACTTCATCCAAAAAATACGTTGGGTATAGAAAGTTTTTAAGGTGGCTCTAAAATCAATTCTTACAACTAATTATGAAAACTTGCAGTTCAAAAAGTGGCACAAATCTTGGAGAAATCTCTTTTGTTTTGTTTTGTTTTTTGCAACCATAATGGTCAATTATCAGATAATTATGGATGGGAAACAGTTGAAGAGGTGATGGACTATAAAGAGGAAATGATTATAGGTAAATGCAAGTCAGAAGCCACGGTAATAGCACCACATGAACCTTAGCTACCGGTATAAATTTTCATTCCCACCTAATTTTTTTTGGGAAAAGTGGTCAAATGCAAAATCCAGGTCAAGTACTTAGATTTGATCTGGGTTTTCTCACTCTTTCTCTAGGAAGTGAGGTAAGCCGTAATACTGAGTTCCACAGAGACCGTTGAACCCACACAAAAACAAAAAAAAAACCAAAATATCTGCTAAGTTCAATTTTGATGGGAATTCGACTGACTGGGGGGGAAATGTGGCTCAAACAAAGCAGAACCTTTAAATTACGATCGAGTTGAGATTTTTACATAAGATTTCAATGAGTCAAATATGGTTGAGGTTGATTATCCGATAAATATGTCAAATTATATGAGCACTATCACAGTCACACACCTATACTCTCAATTCTCAAATGATAAAAAGCTCTCTTACCTCTCTCTTTCTCATCAAAGTTCGAATCTTATCGCTATTAGATATGTGGTTGCCCCGTTTGGACCTTATATTAATAGATGTAAGTTCTCTGTTGCTCCCAAAACACTAAAACAAACCGAAAAACTTTTGACTACAAATATTCCTTTTCAATTCTCTATAATTTGGAATGCACCTTCTGAATTGTTGGTAAAAACCACTGTTGTCCCTCATAACTCTTAACTCAAATACACATGATTCAAGCCACAAATCAAGGAATTCTTCAATTCTTGGATTAACCACGATGGCTAAGAGACCATATCATAAATGTCACAAAAATAAATAAGAAAAAATTAAATAATACAAGGTGCAGGGTGTTGAACAACAGCAGACTACTCACGAGAACGACATGCCCGAAAAATGGAAGAAAGGCTATTAGAAGATCAGAATTGGGTAACATTATGGTACAAAAGAAGAAAACAAACAATAAAAAACAAATGATGAACTCTCTCTCTCTCTCCCCTGTACCAAGTGAGGGGTTTCAAAACTCTGTTCTCTTCGAATTGTTTTCTATTTAAAATTGAAGAGCTATGAACATAACTTCATAATGAGCATAGAACCATCATTCCACAACAAGAAAAGATGTCAAATTCTAATCCTATAAAGAACACATACCAATAGAATAAGATGATCCCTCTCAAATTGAGATTTGCTTTGACTGTAAATTTCTCAATTCCATTACCCATCCAGACATGGAATGAACCAAAATTATAAAAAAGAATAGCAGCTTACATCTACTCCACATGTAGCAAATTCATCATCTTTTACTATAAAGAAATCAGATAACTATTGTCAAGTATTTCATGCCATAAGACCTGTAAGAGCTCTGTGGCATGTGTGAGAGAGAGAGAGAGAGAGTGCCGTAAGAGCTCTATAATACAATAAAAGTGGGGCACTTAATAGTTTAAATATAAATCAGGCTATTAAAAATTCACATTAATTTCTTTTAGCAAGTCTTTGTTACTAGGAGGCATTTTGGAATCAACAGAATGAAATAAATGAGGCAGAAAAATGTAATTTTTCATTCAAAATCATTGAATGAAAAGGCAGTTGATATTGAAGTCATTTCTGAATCCACATGTCACATAAAAAGCATGGTGTAGCAATCCAAAACCAAAATTAGCACCTTATGAGACAAGAGAGACTGCAAGTTGCCAATGATCAAGCAATGCCTTGAAGAATTCATCCACATAACTTTCGGTAGAATCCTCGGCGTCTTCTGACTCGTAAACAAGATGCATCCCTCCCTTTATCAAATGAAAGCATGGAAATCCCAAGGATGGTGTTGTTTCATTTATGCCTTCAACTTGACCCTGGGATGGTTGGGACCCAATTACGAGTTCAATTTCATCCCCATTTTTCAATCAGTTGAAGTCATAAATTGGCTCTCATAAACGGTAAAAGTAAACTTGATTCTGGTGGGTCCCTGTCCCTCGATAAATTTGCAAGTTAAGTCTAGCCTTCTCCCTGCCTTTCCTCTTGATCAATAAGTCTACAAAATGCTCCTCGTGAGTGCAACTAATCCCATGGACATAAATAACAAATCACACAATTATTTCTCTAATATGAAGGCCTTTGTCTGAAAGACTTGACATTGTGTATGACAGAGTTTGACACATGAACCAATCTGGATTTTCGATCTCCTGAATCCTTGTGTATATCGGCGTGCACTCACACCAATTTGGAACCTTGCTTCCGGGAACAATTATTTATCCAACGCTGTAAACAATTCCTGCACACACACATATATCTTCAACCTCAGGCGGTAAAAGAATATTATATTCAGTTACCAGCTTATCAAATTTACTTTTTATGTTTTCTTGTTCTTCAATTCCTTTGTTGATAGGGTCCTGGGTGAATTCTAAGATTTAACCCTTGCTTTCAGAGCTATTAACTCATTTCTAACCTCATTGATTTCATATTTTAGCTCGGATATTGAAGGTTCTCTTTCTTTTTGTGTTTTATTTTGTACTGTTTTAATAATGTCCTGGAAACTATAATCTCTTTTGTTGAGACAAGAGAAGACTTAAGTTTTTTAAATAGGGTTTTAGACATATTTATGTATTGGATTAGGGCTTCTCTTTAGCCTCTGGATCTGATATTTTGTCTATGAGGTCTATAATCAGATATTCTTCTTTTGTGAGGGTATTGATGCTTAACCTATTCATATCCATGATTGCCTTGTAAAAATCACATTGACAATTTTCTTCTTTTGGGTTATTTTCATCATTAGAGTCTGAATCAGAACTGTTGATAATAATATCATCATCATTTATTTCTCCAATCAACATTTCCTCTTCTGAATCAGAGGAATCAGAGGTTTCGTCTTTTATTTGGAGTATTTCAAATAATTGTTTTTTAATATTATCATCTATTTTCAAAGAGTTAATTTTTCTTTTAACTTTACATTTATTTTTGTAATGGTCTATTTTGCCACAATTATAATAGACATAGATTTTCCTTTTTCCCTTATTTTTGAAAGATGGTTTATCTTGTAAGAAATTTTTGAAAAAATTTTCTTTTGTTTTTTAAGAATGTCTAAATTTTCTCTTT